TGTGTGTGTGTGTGTGTGTGTGTGTGCGCGCGCGCGCGCATGTGGGGGGGTTAATGGTATATTAATAAATGGATTTTCCTGCTCGCAGTTCATCACAGCAGGAGGAATCGCAATATTCTTGGACAAACACTGCACCATGAAGATTGTGAGTCTCTTCTAAAACTTGAAACATTGTTTCAGCTAAGTTGAAAATAACTGAACAACAGCGCATGATTTAGAAAAAGCTAACATACTAAAGTAAAATGTTTTTGGGGGGGCGGGGTTTCAGCTGCAGCTGTGTCTCATGATAAGCATGGTGTCTGTTATGCTGTCAGTGGTGGCTGTGATCATCTACTCTGTGGACATGAACAAGAATCCTGAGGAGCCTTGTATGAAAACTACAGAATACAACAGATGTGACGAAAAGCACTACGAGACGGTTGGTCCTTAAACTATTCTGGGTGTCTTTCAGTACCTGTCATTCTGGATTTCTTTGTACTTAATTTGCACATTTTTGTTGTGTGTCTATCATTTTTGTGTCCCTGTAGTCTTTTTCTCTGTCATTTTGTACACTCGTTTTTTTCTCTTTGTAGAGATTTTTGTGTTACTTTGTTTTTATTTTGTTGTCTCTTAGTACGTGTTTCAGTTTGTAGTTGTTTTCTGTCTTTTTGTAATTGTGTAAAGCATAATACATAATAAAGATGAAGTGCTTCTACAGTATAGTTAGATCTATACGTAAAAAAAAGTTCCAAACAATCCGTGCTCCGACCCATAGCTCCAACACACACTTCCCTCTTGTGCTCCTAATCCGTGACTCCGTCCAAGTGAAGAAAAACGCTCCCGCTCCCTGGTAACAAAACAAACACACATGTCGGCAAAGGTATCCACAACAAGTGAGGTTCAAAAACACAGAGGAACACGGCCATACTAACAAGGGTAAACTCAATAATCCAGCATTGACTGTAGCTCAGCTGCACTGCTAAATAGGACGCTCATGGAGAAGGTAATCAGTGCAGCTGGTGATGGCTTGATGAGCTGCAGTTGCAGCTGAATGTTAAGCACTAAAAGCAAAAACTGAAATCTCTGCAGAAATATTCAAAGTCACAGCCTCAATGCAGTTGGAGCCCTGAGTCTTCTTTGAGTTTCCACAAACATTCCGGGTTTTAAGCATTTTCAATCAATCAATCAATCAATCTTTATTTATAAAGCACTTTTCATACAAAAAACAATGTAGCACAAAGTGCTTTACATAGTTAAAAACAGCCCACCCTCCAACTCACTCCCCACACTCTCATTAACATAAATTCAATTCAATTCAATTCAATTTTATTTATATAGCGCCAAATCACAAC